CTTCAGTAAGGCATGTGAGGCATGTGAAGGACTTCAGTAAGGCAGTGAGGACCCGGATTGTTGGGGGCAATATGCTGACTCTCTGTAAACCGCTTAGAGAGGGCTGAAAGCCCTATGAAGCGGTATATAAGTCTAACTGCTATTGCTATTGCTATAGATTAATTTATAATTGGCTGCCCTACTGAATTCTGGATAGACCCCAATGGAGCTACAGCTAATGGAGGGAACATGCAGAAGGGTACCTCAAAGATGAGTCTTGGGCCCAGTACACTTCAACATCTTTATATGAGGGGATAGAAGGGGAACTCATCAAATTTGCAGATGACATGAAGCTGAGGGGAATTGCTAGCACCTGGGAAGATAGACTCAAGATTTAGAAGGATCTTGATAAACCTGCACATTGGGCCCAAGCCAACAAAATGCAGTTCAGTGGTGAGAAAAGTAAGGTCCTGTACTTTAGACAGGAAAAACGAGTTTGTTTAAAATAGGCAATGCCTATTTTAGCTGTAACTGTTAGAGGAATCTAGATACCCTAGTGCCATGATGGTGAACCTATGGCATGCATGCCACAGGTGGCACCTGAAGCCATATTTGGTGGCACGCTAGCTGTCAGCTCAGATGATTTTTCACCCTTCCGGGGGGCCTTGAGAGGCTGTTTTCACCATCCCTAGTTTTAGAAAGGCCTCAGAAGGCTGGGGAGGGCGAAAAACGAAAGGCCATATTAGAAGTTTGGAAACAATCCATTGCCGGCTTCTGGAGGGCCTCCAAGGGAGCAGAGGCTGCCGTTTTCACCCTTCCTAGGCTTCTGGAAAGCTTCCGGAGCCTGGTGAGGGGTCACGCGTGCATGCGCGGGTGGGCAAGGAGGATTGAGTGGGCACACACGTGGGGGCAATAGCAATTTTGGCACTGCCCTAGTGGATCACCTAATAAGCCAGCAGTGTGCTACAAGCTGCCAAAAAGCCACTGCAGTCCTAGGCTGCATCAACAGGGGGATAGAGTCAAGACAATGAGAAGTGGTAAGACTATTCTTAGAATACTGCATATAGTAGCAATATAGCAATAGCAGTAGACTTATATACCGCTTCATAGGCCTTTCAGGCCTCTCTAAGCGGTTTACAGAGAGTCAGCATATTGCCCCC